GGACACGTGAAGATCGTCATTTAAAATTTCGGACTGATCTACATTTTTGATGAGTATAAATGGTTTGCACCATAGTAATTGGCAAATCAGTTAATTTGGAATATCAATCCAGATATTCAGGGGTTAGGCACAAAGTATTCTGTTTTATAGAGATTTTATTAGATTTGATTTGTAAGTTTAACACACTCATATTATTATTTTATAAGATCACAAGTCAATTTAAATTTCTACATTGGGTATTACTTATGAAATAAAGGCACTTATGTGTATAAAAAAATATTAAATTTATATGCTATTTTAGTAGCTTCGCTTCTCATATTAATCTTTATTGCATAATAATAATAAATAGATAAAATTATACAATTAGTTCAATATGAGCTAATATAACTATGCTGATTTTAAATGCTTCACATTTAATATAGTAAATTCAATTTTTATATTCAGCTTCTATATCTTCTTCATTCTTATAACTTAACTTGCATATCAGACACAATAATTTAGTATTAATCTCATAATAATCAACATTTTCGAAATTATATTCTTTATATAAATCAGGATATTGCTCTAATAATTTGTTATGAAAATAATCATGAGTATATGTTGAATTATTTTGCTTTTCAGATAGAGTTTTCTTGGGTAAAGCTTTCTTTTCAGTTTTAAAGGTAGATCTTATACTTATTTTGATTTTTGAATTGACAGAAACAGAAGATATACTTACATCAACTTCTGATTCAAATATAGGTGGTACACTTTTCTGAGCTATTGATGAGATTTTCTTGATCATGTCAGCTCTGCTGATAATATTAGTAGATTCTGTATTAGATACATGATTAACAACATTATTTTGATCAAGTGGAACTTTTTGTCTCACTTTTTTACTTTTACTAAAATAATTTGAATTTGAGGTTGTATAAACTTTGAAATATAATTCATACTGAATGTTTTGATATTCTTAATCTTATCAACTCCTATCTTTTCAATTAATTTGTAAAGTTTTATAGATCTTTGAGTTCTTTTACATAAGGTTTCCAAAGTTATTTCAGAAAGATGTTTTATTATATCCTGAAATAATCATTTTCTTGCTGTCTGTTCTAAAATGTTTTCTTTTATCATAAGTTCTTGAACATCTATTTCAAATCTTTTTCCGTATGAGTAATGACATGAAATCTTTTCTGTTTAGCTTGTATAGTATTTTTTCTTTCAATACTTACTTTTAGAAACAAATGAGCTAGCTTAACTTTTATTGTCATATTGGTGGTGAGTACATTGATGACTTCAATGATCTCCTCATCTGTGAATCCTGAAGACACTTCTTGAATGAAATCTTGGATGACTATATAATCATGTGAAACTTTTGTTTCTTCAGGTTGTATCAGCATTGACTTGCTGTTTTGCTCAAGTGAAACTTTCAGTCTCACTTTTTCACATGGTTCTTCAACTAATATAGAGGATAATTCTTGATCCTGAAGTTTCTTTTCTCTAATACACTGAATTATCTCTTTACTAACCTTTTCTTTGTATGTTGAATTCAGGAATTCATCAACCTTCTTGTCCTCTAGTGATTTAGTTTCTGTATGGATAGATGATTGACGTGAGCTGGCTAAAGATCGAGTCTTTAACTCCTGATATATATCAGAATTAGATACGTTATCAGATGTATCAGGTGTGAGAAAATCTTCACTATTTCTGAATAAATGAAGACCTGTCTTTCGTGATGCTGTCTGCTCGTGAGTATTGTCAGATTTCATTTCAGGAGAAATACTAGTATTGGTCGAAGATTGTTTGATTTTCTTAATATCATCATCTAGTTTAGCAATAAGGTTGGTCTTTTCTTTATCTCTCTGCTCTAAATTAGTGAACCTAACTTCATGTTCTTCCAAGACTTGTCTTAATTTTATATTCTCAGCTTTAACTTTGATATTCTCAGCCTTGACCTCAACAATTTCACCATAACTTCATCATATTTGGTCTTAACTTCAACATTCTCCTTTCTAAGTTCAGCAATTGTGGCAATGAGTTGAGAATTTAATTCTTGCAACGAAGAGATAGTCTCGAGTTTTCAACTCATCGATTTTTGATCGAGTATCTGACATTGTTTATACAAAATGCGGATATGTTCAAACGGGTATTAAAAATCACATGACTCTGATCGTCACGGTTTTTGCCAAGAACTATGATTTATTCTTTTGTCTCTGGGTAAGCCGGCACGAAGTGCCGAATATACAGATATCGCGTCGATTTATCCGTAAAACAACCGGGAAAAATAAAATATACGCTAACTCAAATTTGTGTGATTTCATGCAACACAACCAATTCATTTTACGTTGGGTTTTACTTGCATAATTATTAAAAATTCGAATCAAGATGCAAAGTATTGACACTACATGTCAAAGAAACTGAAGGTAAGAGTCCGCAAGCAGGAGAGTATCATTACACATTATTTGAGGCTGGATTAACCGTTAGGGTGATAGGTTATCTAAAAATGTTGTCAAAAGAGGCTCATGCCGAGAGCTCAGGAACATAAGTCCTCTTCCCTGCTGGTGCACATAGGTCAATTGCTTTAATACGTCATCCCCAATCAGGGAAGAATCCACCTGATCACCAGGAGTCGCTTCCCAGACTCGAAGCGTATTGATTTGGACCCAATGGGTCCAACTATTATTGTCTCCGATAGACACTGCAAATGGATCACGGGCCAAAAATAATCTAGCAGGGCTTCCATACCCAGTAGCATGGCCCGGACGCACCTGTATCAATAACGGTTTTGTATAGCTTATCATTATCGTATTTTTCATTAAATTGATACCCAAGTATGACAGAACTTTCATCCCCCGCTCCAACTCTTTTGACCCGAACTTTGATCTTTAATAATAATATTTATTAAAATTGAATTAACTCTCTTTTAGCATTAAAACAATCACTTTGTTCAGACCAGGTATTCTCCATAATTATTGCGCCGAGCAAGCACTGCCCTCGCTGGAGGAATGTAAGGATTAACGTACTTTTCGCGAAGTATTGGATCAAGTGGAAGGTAAAGGGCACCAGGCATTTCCTCATCGAGGTCCCCCAGTTGCTGATTCGTATACTCTTCTGACTCATACTTCTTCACTGTTTGTTCGTATATTAGTACCCAGTCTTTTTCATGGCCATCAAACATGCCCTTGTCGAGACTGTCATAGAAGTAAATGCAATTAAGTGCGTATTCCTGGTCACCTTCGAGAACGTTGCAAGAATCATCGGTAAGAGCCCAGAAGACGTGACTTCTGGTGATATCAGGCATCGAAGCGGGCCACCTGAAATTATTTCCCATGTGATCTGCAAAGATATTAGTTAAGGAAACAAAAACAACAGAATAGTAAAAGCATAAAAATCTTTGTACCTAAAAACTTCTGTGCATCACCTGGCCTTTTCTCATACGCACGAAGGGATTCCACAGTTTCGGGTGAATTGATTGGAGGATCAAGATGAAGGGCTTCAAGTGTGCTTGTAATGTTTTGAGCTGTAGTGTCTTCAGCCGTGGTATCCTGAGTATTTTGAGCCATGGCGTTAGTCTCAGGCTGATCGGGAATATTTGTTGATGGTTCTTTGTCTAGTTATTATAGACCTGCTCGAAGTGCTTTGAGCGATGTCTTCTTGAACGATGCTGGAACTTTGAACCGTGTATTCTTCAGTGAGGTCGGTGATTGGAGCGCCTGTGGTGAGTAAAATGCTTGAGTACAATATAACTCTGAAAATATGTTTGACAACAACAAAAAACCGGACCTCTGCTCCCTCTTTTGGTGAACTTGATAATTTGTTTTTTAACTTTTTTCAATAGGTTCGGCATGGCTGAAGTAAAGATGTGATTACATACAAAATATATATACCTTCAATCGATCGAATACTAAATCAAGGTGATGAAAGAGTGATACGTCTGTTTTTAGTTCGAGGGGCGCTGATGGCTTCGCTTATTGACCTACGAGAAAAAAAAAGCGTGGGAAGAGGGATGATCGCCTGGTTAATTGTCACAAGGGCGCAGTAAGCGCAGTTGATCGTTGGTCCAGTATGTCATCTGACTTTGAGCGGTTATTGCGAAAAGGCAGGGCATTGGTATTTATATAAAAAATCTATTTCGAGCATGTGGGATCTATTTTGGGTATGAAATCTATTTTGGTAAGTGGGATCTATTTCGGGTGTATTACAGGCATATGATTTAAGAATAAGAATAATAATAATAACGAAAGTAACAAAAATAATAGTAATACATGTATTTAATGTTTTTCTACAGAGGTAATGACGTAGAAAACTAAAAGAGCTACAAAGATATATATACATATATATATTATTTCAGAGCATCATCTAAATAAATCGAATGATGTAAATTATGATTATGAAAAATACCTCAACAGGCACCGTATGCTTCTGCAATATACTTGATCCATCTTTCCGTCACTTCGTAGACCACATCTAAAGGGGGGGGGGGCATTATACCATTCCTGGTGTTTTTTCTGACAACCAGGACATTGTGGTAAATCCATTTTGTGGTCTGCGAGTTCTAGATGGATCAAGCGTTCGGTGCGATGGGAATACTTTATTGTATAACTTTCGATAAGGTTGATTTTATAGTTGCATAGTTTTTCCCATTGCTTCATTCGATTTTCTATGTCATCAGTTCGGCCAATTTTATAGTACGGATCGGATAAATGCTTAATACTTCCTTTCTTGTTGGCTGCAGTTATAAGATGCAACAGTTAATTAAATAATGATAAAATGATGAACCGGTGATAATAATAATTACCTTGATATATGTATATATATCCTTTAGTATCTCGATCCGAAATCTCCTTTATTATTTCGCTCCGTGGAGAAACTTTGATTTCATCCCGGATGTCTCCTTTAATATAGTCTATAAACAAACAAATTATAAGATCATTGATGACTTCTGAAAGAAATTTTTATACAAAGAAAAGCACAAATACCATCGACATCAATGTAATACTCGAGCGCTCTCCCAGATGCAACAACCTTTTTATAAGGGACATCAACTTCGTCCGTCATATTCTATCAAATAATTACAATAATATACATATTAGTGTTAACATTCCACTATCATTATTATTTAAATGCTAAATAAATAAGTTTGAATAGCATAAAAATTAAGTAAAAAAATAATGTAAAGATAATATCACATGCTGGTAATAACAAGCATGGTATTTCATAGATCGAAGAAAATTTAGAAGAAAACAATAATAGCAAATAAAAATAAATATGGTATTTGATTCTACCATCACAAATCAAGATATTGGCAGATATAGAATTTGATATCTGTGAGCAAGGTAGTAGCCATTCCATCGCAAAAGTCGAAGAAAAATTCATATAATCTCTATATTAAAAAAATATATGTATATAATCCTACCTTTGCCCCTTCAACCAACTTCAAATACTCTTCAACTTCTATCTCTCCACACCTCAACTTCTCTTCCAGCCACATAGTGAACAGTTCTTTTGAAACTTGATGATATTTGGGATAATTATTTATAAAATTCAGAAAATTTTTTATATCCCACATATCACCAGTTTCAAAAAAGTTACCAGCGTTTCTGTATAACTGTTTTTCTTTATTATTTAGCTCTTCACTAAATTTTTTCGTAGGTAGTTATACTTTGGTATTATAGAGATAATAATTATTACTCGAAGGACGCGAAGTTTAGAATGTAAAGCTTAAAACTGCGAGGTTTAATTATTACCAGTTTCGAAAAAGTTTCCAGTGTTCTGTATGTTTTTTCTTTCTCATTCAGCTCTTCTCCTGAATTTTTCGTAGGTAGTTATACTTTGGCATTATAGAGATAATTATTACTTAAAGTTTAGAAAGCAACGCGAAGTTTAATTTGAAATGCTCTGCTAATGATGATTTGTTTTGCCGGGTTGATCGAAAATTTGCGCATCCTTATTGGACAAGTTTAATAAAATGTTGGGTAGTGCAAACCAATAAGAATAATAAGAATGCAGAAATTACTCAAAATACTTATAACATTATTTCCATAATAAAGGGATATGTTGTGAAGGAGTTAAACATATTGTTTCTGTTTTTTCTGGAAAATTTGTAAGATAACCTACCAGAAACAATCCAATATTCTTCAAAATAGTGAAAAATAACCGGTCACTTTTCTTTTCGGATATTGTTTAGAAAATATAGAAGATTAGGATCGTAAGTGGCGAATGACGAATCGTCTGATGAATGACAATTTTAACAAACTAAACTATAAAAACAATAGGTCAAGTCAAGCTTTATCAATTTATCGGTTTATTTTTTGCATGAGTTTTACCAGAGGTATATATTTAAAATTATACACTTTCTCAAGTTTTCATAATGCTAGCCAAAATTTTGATCGTCTATGGCCTTCAGCCAATCAAACACATGTACTAGATTTCTAGTTCGTAACATTCTTTTAAAATTCGGAATAGGATTTGTACATGTGATTTTAGCTATAACACTAGTTTTGGCCTGAATGAAGGGGATACTTTACATTCTACTCAACTTACTCAACTTGTAACAGAGATTAATACCAGGGTACTTTACCGGGGGGATGTTTTATCAAGGGGGTACTGTTGCGTGCTACTATTTTAATCGGTCAAAGAGGGGTTTTTACGCAACTGGGATGAGAGCTAAACTGAATTATTTACGAGTAAAGGGTTTCTTTGGGTGTTCTAAAGGCTTCCCGTGGCGACTTGTACGCAAATCGACAT